ACAAACTCTTTAGTATGTATGTGTCTGTATATACGTATGTATGTATCAAATAAAAATTTTGTTTCTGATTGAGTTGAACTTCACACAATACACTTAGGCGCACCGCAAGTAACGCCCTTATTTTAAAAAATCTACTAATTTTATTGATTTTTTGATTGTTCTAAGTTTTTGCTTTGGGCTGCGAGTAGTCGGCAAACTGAGGTAGTTGTTTTTGCTGATCAAAAATATAATGACCAATTAGGAAGTTATCGATTGGCCTAATGGTTTATTGTTTTTTTGCATTTTTACTCGGAGGCGTTGATGTGTTAATCATAAACATGTTAACTACTCAAAGATTTACTGTTCGGTCAACTATCGCTTTATTGATTTTTTTTCATTTTTCGCTCATTAGCAATCGGTACTCAGGGTAACTTTACTAACATTGTTTGGTTTATTCTCTACAGAAGAGTTGTCACTATCGTTTGTTCAAATAGACTTAACTAAAGACTGGAAATGTTCCAGTTTTTATATTGTCCAGTAGAAAGAATGTTGGTTTTATTATCATTTAGCGTAAAGTTGCAGTATAAAAATTCACAGTAGGGGGCACATTAAACGTAGCTTATATTTATGCAGCTCATAACGAAAGTTCAAGAAGAGAGCCTCGAATGATTAGGTACTAGAGCGCTTCTTTCTTTTCACACTAACCTAAATCTGCGAATTGCCAATCAAAGTCAGTTGATCAAGATTTTTCTTTTGAGGCGTTAGATGACATAAACATATTTTTTATCACAAGCACTTTTCAGAAGATAGCTTTTTGAGGTCTCTTGAGAACTCTTTACGTACCTTGTTGAGTTAACGTTTTGGGTGTACAAATATGTGATACAGCAGGAAAGCACAGTGATTGCGATAATGGCGACCGTCGAAAGGAGGATAAATGCAGGTATTCCTTGTTCAACGGCTGCTTGGCTTTCCTAGAAAAACCGATCGCAGTTTTTTTATTAGAACAAAAGTTGTTAGGTTCAATTAATTTCCTGAGTTTTAATGAAGAAAGTTTTGGTGCATGCGGCTGAAAATTATTTAACAACAATTTGCATCCCTATTTAAAGTCTAAGCTTGAATATAGCTAGCTCTCTTTGTCGCAGTTTCGTGCAACTCCTTGAATATCGGTCGCTATGGCACGAAAGGTTACGAAAGGCCGGTTCTCTCGCGTACTCTGTTTTAGCTCTGCTCCTTCTCGCAGTATAATTACCGCATGCTCACTACGCATATCGTGTCACTTGTCGTCGTCGTCGCGCGGGTAGCGGTTACATACGAGATTGCAATCATTTGGCCAATATCACACAGACGTGAATGAACGGGAGGAGGGAATTG